CATTCCTTAAAGTTTTCCTCTTCCTCTCCAGCTGCTCTTTTCTTGGAAATGCTATTGATCTCTGTAGCAATTTTATCAGAGCTTGGTTTTGCAGAATAGAGCCTCCAATAGATAGAAACATAAAAACCTTGGAAAGTTTCATACCTGGAAAAAAACCAACAGAATATTCTTTGCTTTCTAGAAGAATCACTGAATTTTTTAATTTAAGAAGATGGGATTGTTTTTTAGAGAATTCCAGTTTCAGAAGGGGTGATAAGGATAGTAACCCACAATATGTAGTGTTCCTCAGACAAACCTGATAGCTGTCGTTAATTAAATATATCTCTGAGAACTTCATGTAGGTTTAACCTTTACTGATTTTTATTTACAGTATGGAAATCTGTTAATAAGTAACATTGTTAAGATAATATATTAATTTAGGATAACTTGATAGCAACATAATTATGTTTCATATAGTTGGCAAATAGAAAACAGAAAATTATTAGTAGCATTTTAAGAAACAGAAAGCAAGCTTCTGGAAAGCTTTATGCTGGAATCACTGTGTTTAATAAAAGCTGAAAAATGAAACAAAGTAAACATGTTGCTTATATTTTTAGTTGACTCTGAATGAGACAGAATTACAAGTGAGTTGAAGGATACCATGGAAATACAAAATGATCTGGAGGGTAATGGACAGTTCTAAATAGGGTTTAAATTTAGACGAACATTACATAATGCATTTCAGACACATGGCATTATATATAAGCATCGTTGCTGCAGAACGCTAGATAACATTGTTTAAGCTCTTCAGCCCTCAATACTCCTTCTTCAAGGCAGTTTTCAGACATAAGTAGATAGAAATCTGATCGTAGTATTGCTGGAAAGGGAGACTGCTTGTAAGATGCCCCTGACTGTGCTCATGATCTCTTCGAGTGTAGCTAAGATGATGTGTATATGTTTACCTACCCAACCAAACACAGAAAAGTTAAGTATCAGTAGTGATATCAGTTGTCCCACAGTCTAGAAAGCTTAGGCTTCTTTCAAAATCAGACCCTGATATGAGTCCAAATGAAATTTCTAACAATAGCAAAGTTATTCAGTTAGCCATTGGTCCTCGAGCCCTCACTCACTGATGACAGAGACTGGTAGGTATAGGGACTCCATATGCTGTCACCTGATACCAACACTCTGCATAAACTATGGTTATGGGTTCCTTTTTAATGTAGGTATAGTTTGATTCCTGCCACAGATACAACCGAATTTTGTCCCTGTCTTGATTGCATTTACCACCACTGTGGTGGAATATTAATGGTAGGATGATTCTTTCAAGTAGATACACGTGTAAAAACACATGGCAGTTCAAAAATTCGTAATGTGTATTATTTGTTACAGTTGCTGAGAATGAATTTTTGCAAAGGACTGCCTGTTCACCTAAAAGAAAAATCAATAAAGGGCATGTCACTCGTTATTTTCCCATACTGTTTTGCAGTCTGTGGATTGCTGGCTACTTCCCTGCATAGTTTCTATTTTACTGCTGAAACTTTAGATTGACCCTTCCTGGAGAATGTGTGGAACAACATGCAAAGCCTACTGCAGTCATCTTCTTGGCTGGGGGAGAGGAAAGGAGACTTTTTTTTGAGTTTTCTCTTTCAAAAGTTCTCATAAAGATTTCTTGTTGCGGCAAAAGATGTAGAGATCTCTGGGAAAAAAAACAATTCTCAAGTAGATGGTGGTCATTCAAATGTGGGTCATTTTGACTTGGTATATCATAGACTTAAATATCCATGAATAATTACTGATAATAAACAAAAGTTCAAGAATTTACAGTGACAAAATTACTTCAGGAACAAAAGGTAAAGGCAGCTTTCCCAAACTGTGTAAAGCATAAATGGAGCAAATGGATTATATTTCAGTGGGGCTACCCTGCTGTGATAGCTCTCTCTTATAAACATTATCCTTCAAAACTAACAGATTTCTCCATAGTCTCTGATAATAACACTCTGATAGTGTGGCAGTCAGCGCAAGGCAGAATAAAACAAGTACAAATGAAATGTAGTGCCAAGCAGCAGTAACTGTAAGCAGGTAATATGGAAAACAGAGATACAAATGAAGTGTGGAAGTTAGCATTAAAAAAACGGCAAATTATATAGCAACAGAAAAATTATTTGAGTCTGACACTTATAAGTAAGTATGCAGGAAGTGAAAGAAATGTCTGAATATACAGTTGCAAATTGAGATAATAAAGTATACATTGCTGAAATTAGCCAGTAAAGCATCCAAATGCCAAGATGATAAATAGCAAATAATGCAAATAATGAAGAGCCTGTGTTCACAAGCGAAGCACAGTGCTTCTGTTCTGTACAGAAGCACTGGCTCTGCCGGTTCCTCCTGTTCTTTTCACATTTGCTGTATGTCATCCATGATGCTTGCTGAAGAGGCCGTCAGGGACGTGTCTCAGCACAGCCACGTGCACACACTTTTGTTTGGCTAGTCGAAGGCCCGCTCAGGAGCATAAACGCTGTTCTTGTGCCTTACCCTCCTGTGCCTATTTAGTTAATCTTGCTGTGCTGTCTCTCAGCGACAGTACAGCACTGATGCTCTGCTCAAGTGTGTCACTGAGACACGCGTTGGCAGCATTCGCGTCTGAACAGTCGCTCCTGTTCTGGTCTGCTGGAACTCCTGACTGTGAGTACAAAAGGGGCAGGATAGCAGGAAGTGCAAGCTGGAAAAAAAAAAAGTTGTAAGATAAGGCAGCCAAGGAAAGCAGTGCTCATTTTCCTTCTATTCCATTGGCTTCTTCCTGCTGTGACTTGCTTTGCCCAGCTTCATGTGACAAAGTTTCACTAGCTTATTACTCATGTCACCATCTAATTCCTTAACTAATTGATACTGTATGCTTGGACAGGATGTGGAATTTGCTTCTTGCATATAATAATATAGAAAATTCACAGACATCAATAAATAACTGTACTATCCTGGTAGTATGTTTTCCTGATGCTGGTCATTTCGTATATTAGCTTTTAAAACGTCTGTTGTAGCCGTGGCAATAGTATGAGACTATTTTTATATGGGAATAGTCTGGTTGTTCCGTCATCACAAAAGGATGATCAGTGTCTAGTTTATCTATGTGCCGACTACATTATTGTCTCACAAAACAACGTCCCAGTGCTACGATTGCTTCATTAAGTTTATGCTATGTAGACATAATTATGTAGGAGCTAAGAATAGCTCATCTAATTGAAAATAATGATTATAGAGAAAGAACGGGTTTGATTACTGTTACTAAGCAAGCACATACCATACAACCATTCATGAACTGCACAGAACACATATGGGATTATATGGTGTATTCGTTTTGATTAACAGTTTCTTTCCCCCATCCCGAGTACAAGTCAAAGGTGTTACTGCTTATTTGCTCATTATCTTTTTTCTCAGAGACCTAGAGGGACCTGCGAGAAGGCAGCGTGAGCTGATGTTTATCCAGTAAATTATGACAAGCTAAGCTTTGAGATAACATTCAACATTTATCCCCACACACATTTTAGGGAGGATGTAACTTAAATAAATCTTCTCCAGGCACCACAGATGAAACCGTCTATGTGGGTTTTTTATGTCTGTGTTTATACTAGTACCCTACGGGATTAAACATCCTTTTAGAAATGCAAAGTCTGCCATACTGTTAATCTCTTGGTGCTCATTCTGGTTAATGCTAACATTTAATTCTTGCTTCATCTAAAACACATAGAACTCTTCTTTATTCCTTGAAAATAAAACTGAATTTTTACAGCAGAGTTGCTGAAAGTTTTCATTTATTTGATTGCTGTTGATTAGTATCACCAGGCACATAGGATAAAAGTTGCTGCTGCTGTTGTCCTCTTAACTAATTTTTTTCTTACTTAAGTGTCAGTTTTCTACTAGAAAGTTATGAGAAAATTCCTGAGATCATGAAATTTAATATATCTGGTTTAGAAATGTTATTAATGTCTCTAGAGGCTCAAAAAACTCTGCCAGTTTGCCATGTTTAGCTTCCCCTCTGTTCTAATGAACCATTTCATAGCCCTAGGCTATGTGCTAGTGCTGTAGAGGCACAGAGCGATCACTGCCATCAGGAATTTTTAAACACGTGACTGTTTAAAAAATGAAGTGGGGAAGGAAGATGGGACAAACAGTGATGCAATCTTGCAGTAACACAACTATCAGTTTGCACAGTCTGGAATCAGAGACATTGCACAAGCTGTTCTTGAGGCTTTTTGAGAAATAGCAGAAGGAAAAAAGTGGAAGCAGAGGGCAGATTACTTTATGAAAGTATTCCAAACTGTTGTCTTGACTTCAGAAAAGTTGCCTTTTCAGTTTGTTTTGGATTTGAAATTCAGTGAGTTACAAGAATTTAAAACTCTTAAGTCCCCATTTATGCAAATGCCTATTGAAGAATCAAACACATTTTCCATCCCATTTCTTTCCAAAATGGTCTGATTGTGGAAGACATTTCTCAGTTTTTTAGGCCAACGTATGTCAGTTTTGCCCTTCAAAAAATTTTACATGGCACCCAGCATTGAGCATTAACTTTGAAATGTTTTAAAGGTAATAGCATTCCACAGTCCCCTTGAACACCATGTATCCTGGTCTCACAGACCGCTGTTTAGAAGTCTGTGTGGTGGCCCAGTCTGACCTTCTGTACACTTTTGTGCATGTTCTGGTAACATGTATTAAAATCATAATCCCAGGTTTTGGTCAGATACTATTATTTTTTTCTATTTAGAAATTTTAATTATAAGCTTGGACTGTAAACTGTGTACCTACAAGTAAATGTGATACAAAGATGAGCAGGACTGAAGAACTGAGAGGAATAGTGCGTTGGTTCTGAAATACTTTGATATGCAGTTACTCACAGCAAGTGGGCATAAGAGTGCACTATATAGTATAGTGTATGGTAGCTGAGGACAGTAGTCCTTTGCTCTCACATTATTGATGCAACTCATAAAAGACTCCTCTGCATATAAACTGTTTTCTATTTTGTACAGAACTGCACATGCAAGAGCTAAAGCTGATGCTGCGGATCAGGCTGCTCAGGCTGCTCGCCAGGAATGTGATATTGCAAGAGCAGTTGCCAGAGAACTTTCACCAAATTTCTACCAACCAGGTAATTATAGATTGGGGTTTTTGTGGCTACTGGTTTTTTATTGCAGTGAAAAGGTTCTGTGTTAAGTTAAAAAGTTGATTTCATTTTGAAAGTTGTCATTTATACAGAAACAATAGCCATGTGTAAGTCATGAAGAGGGTACATTTCTCAAGGAGATTTTGTTTTCATTTTTTAATCATTTGGTGACTGTTGCTTTGTATAAAAACAGTTGAGTGTCAAAAAGTCAGTATCAAGCATACACCTTTGCCTCACATTAATACCTTCTTCAGAACAGTGTCAAAGACAAACCTCAGAGAACATAAAGCAACATAAATTTGGGTTATTTCTATAATGTGTTTATTAGGGGGAAGATCCTTAGCTTTTTTACTGTCCAAGGAAATTTTTGACAGTCTCGGTTAGGTAAGGCCTGAGTTCTGGAGAATGCTTTACCGTTACACATACATAACCTGTGGGGGAATCTTCCTCTGTTACGCCTGTGGTGCTCTGTGGAACATTAGTCCCATACTCAAGATACCATAGAATAAAGTCTGTGCCACCTATATCAACATTGCAACCCATTTTCACCTGTCATGTTGTTTGGAAAGTTGCTATAGAAAGAAGCAAAGTAGGTTTTTCTTTGTTTTTCTGGTGTCTTTCCATGGGGTCAATATTTTTGTGTACTGCTGTCTAGCTTAAGATTGGCTAGATAAAATGGAACTCCAGTTGCCAATTTAATGTCTTTTCATAAGTCTGTCCTTTCTTTCACCTGTCAAATGAGTTGAGTCATATCTTGTTATTACTTTTCAAGGACTTGCCTGCACTTGTATGCTAATATAGATTATAGCTCTGAGATTCATTTTCACTTACCGTCATCATCTGCCCATCCTTGTTTCAGACACAAACCTGTTTATTCTTAAATGTACCAAATGGTGGATGCAGGCTAGTATCACGACCCGCAAAATCCAAGAACAACAAAATTCTTCAACATTTTCTAACAATCCACCTATTTCCTTCAATTTTTAGTATAAATGACCATTATATATAATTTGTAACTAAATCGTTACTGTCAGTTAGCTTAAATACTTGGGTTTTTCTTTATTCCTAAGTATTTAGTTGTAGAGAGCAATCTGTGTGTTTTGGGGTTGGGAAGGTTGGGGCACTCTTTTTTATTTGTTTAGTGCATAAGTCAAGGGCTGGTCACCTTGTGCAGGTTAGAATCTCCATTCCCCCTATTGCTCTTGCAAACTTTCTTTATACACATCCTGTTATAAATTCATCTTTCTTGAACATGGCTGTCCAGAACTGTAGGCAAAGCTCGAGAGAACTATTTCTAGTAGTAAGACTTTACTAGCTTTAAAATGGTATCAATATGTACCTCTCACTCTTGGAAGTGACCTCAGTAGAACCATATTAGTGGCCCATACTTACTCCTATGATGTCCAAGTCTTTTTCTTTTTCATTATTTCATTCTTCCATCAACTGATGAACTCCCAGTTTAGAGCAGCAGTTCATCTTATAAGTTAAGAAGTCATAAGCTTAGCCATGCAAAGAACTAATAACAGGGACCCTGTCAGAGGAAAAGCTTGATAGAGAATAAAAGTAAGAGGGAATTAAAGCATGTGGAATGAAAGTATTTCAAAGCTGCCAAACCGTAGAAATAAAGAAATGGCTGGGGTACTCAAGAGAAAATACAAACATCTGATGGTGTGAAATTTGACCCCAAGAAATCACCCAGATCAAGAATTTGTTAGGTGTCTTTTTTTACTTCCTGCCACAGGATATGAAGTAGCGTTGCTGATAAATTGGCTAAGATTTGGGGAGAGAAGGTGTGAGATTCTTATTTTCCTCTCATTTAAAACTTTTATTCCAATTACAGAAAGGAAGAGTTTGTATCCCTTCCCCAAATGCAGCTGTATATGTGTACAGTTATGTAGCAAAACATTTCTCAAAGTTTACTTACTCTATTCTTTGTGTGGAAAAGTCTATCAGCTATCTACCTATCAAAAGATAAATACCTCTTTTGGAGTCTAAGTTTTAAATTTCCTCATTATTTTCAAGATGGCCAAATACCGTATATTTGTACACATTTAACAAAAAAAATTGCTATTCCTATTGCTTAAGTAACTTTAAGATGACAAGATGTTAACTAAATTTCAGTTATCCCAAATAAGCTGTAGCAAAACACCAGATTCATGCATTACTGTGATCCTTTCAAATATTATCATGTCAAAGATACTTTCCATCCTCAGTGTTCACGATGCCTTTTTCAGATACATTCTTTCTGAGTAGTACCAGTTAACCCTGAGACTCACCTGTACACATACCTGCTTATTGAAGTATTTCACAAGTGTCATGCTATGAGTTACTGGACAATGTTATCATCAGCTTTTGTCATTTATGGTACTAGAATAGATAAATATTTCTGAGTATTTACCTTCACTCACACAAACAGCAGTAAATACCTGCTTTTCAAATAGCATTTTTCACGTGTTTGAATGAAAACAAGGTAACCATTATTGCTTCCCAATAGCAACTTCTCTGTTTTCTTCTGTTGCTTGAGCTTTTTATTTTTGCAGTATATAAGTTTCTGTTAGTGCTACTAAAAGGTAATGGTAAGTATTGTATCTCAGTCTCTGAAACTATAGTTAAGAGAAGGCTTTCCATTGTGCTAAATTGTCTTGAAAATAAGTTATTGTGGGAAAGGGTAATTTTTCTCTCATTGCTTGTACTGCTTAGTATGATAGGCAAGCATGCTGTCAGCAATGAATAAAGGTATGTAGTATATCAACAAGTCTCTTGAAAGAGAGAGAGAGAAAAAAAGTGAAAACAACAGTTAAGAATTTTTTTCTGTCTTAATGAGTGATCTCTGCATTACCTGCGGCCTAAGTCTATTTAAATATTTGAAAATCTTTTGATAAAGCTCTTAAATTTCAGATTCTTAAAAAGCAAGCTTCTGGGCCATATAGCCTAGTAGTACCCACAATTTATAATTAGAGTGAATATTCATCACTCATTGTACCGTGACAGTTCTTACTTCCCAATTACTTTCTCTCACATTTCAATTTTATGTTCATTAAGACATTCATCAGAAGCTGCCAAGAGGTTCTAGCTTTGTAATGTAGTTTAAAAGGAGATTGAAAGAAGGACAAAGCAGTAGGAAGCAAAGTAGCATCCAGCGGGTAAAAATAATAATGTCCGTCTGAATCATGAATATTGAGGTACCACAGAAATCTTGAGATCTAGCATTCCCAGTAATTACCTTAATATTTGTATATAAGGAAAGCAAATATGATTGAAAAGGTCAGTGCCATAGTGTAAAGACTTTCAAGGTTACAGGGAGATGTTTTACCTAAGCTTGTTTACACTAGTCTCAGGCAAGACGCTGCTTCTACTGCTGTAGCTAGTGATTAATAGCTATGAGGATGGTATATCTTTGCAGAGCCCTACCCGCAATGCTATACATTTTGTAGATTTAACAAATGTTGCAGTCTTTATTGATGCCATAGTTTACAGGCCTTTTTATCACCAAATAAAACAAATTTTGAGAAATCCCAGCTCTGACCTGTTTGTTTCCTCCAGGCATCGCTAAACTTGTAGATGTGTCAAAAGAGCATACCAGGACAGGAAACAAATGAAACCTGAATCATATCCACATTTAAGGGAGTCATTCAGGGACAGTTTAAGATTGTCTTTGCTTAGAGAAAAACAATAAATGCTGGTTTGTGTCTTTTGTTAAAACCTAGAGAAGAGCAAATGACTAATGAGAGTGCTGTATCAAAGGTGTAACAGAAAAGAAAGGCTTCTGACACCCAGTGAAAAGGAGGAATATTGTCCTAGTCTCGCACAAGGTTAATGGATGCTTTGACTTACCCATTGCATTCTAAATTCCACAGGCCATCTCTAGGATATACTCTTGTAAATGCACTATCAGGAGGTAGACTAAAGTATGAACTTGCACAGCTAAGCCATAATTGTCTGTATGCATATATATCCTGCAGCAAATGGATACTGCTCTTTCAGTTTGAATGAATAACATTTGATTAAATGAAAGAGGGGTAAAACTACTTTGCTGCAGGGTAAGAGCAGTCTGAGCACTTTACCATGGAGCAATTAAGGTCTGGAAATTCAGATCTGAATGGTTTTATGGCAGATTATTTGTCAGGCCAGCCAGCTGCCAGATGAACATACATGGCTCACCAGAACAATTCATCCAGTGTTTGACCTCCTAAACAAGGCATGAGAGAAGTCAAGGAGCAGTTTATCAATTAACACTCTCTAAAGAGATGGACAGAATTTCTTTAGGTGAAATATATGAGCAGAGAACAAAGATTTTCTTATGAAAGAATAGGATTTTGTTGGATTTTACCAGTATTTTTTACAGTAATGTTTGGTTACTGTTACAGCATCAGTCTTAACATGCTGAACATCACTAGTTTCAGAAATAAGCATTTTAAGCTTATGATAAGTCAATTTCTAATGGCTTCTAATGCCTTAAAGAGCAACTGTGTTTTACATTCTCTTTTGACCAGTGGTGGATGTCTGTAGCCTTGGATGAAAACACATCCTTCCCATCTTCCTCTTCTCTCCCATCTCCACCTGCTCCAGTTCACAAAATCCAAACTCCATATGGACAGGAAAGAGAGATTTCTGCCTGATGCTAATTAACTGGAATGTACTGGCTAAACGCATGTGGACCAGGCCAGATATTTTTATTTAAAAAGCCAATTACAATGAGCATTTTGCCTGATTAGAGTTACCAGCCATGCCATCAGTTTGTGCCTTAAAGCATACGGAAGCTTACTAGTTATTCTTAGTCATACAAGAGCCTATTCATTTTCTGAAATTATTCAACATACGGCTTCATCATCCTCACACAACTGTTGTCAGGATTCTTGCTATGGCATCTTTTCTGTAGAATTTATTGCTTCCATCCTCTTTCTAAACAACTCTGGAGAAGCCAGAGGCTATAGAGGTATCCTAAGGCACTTCTGTTGTATCTGGTAATCAAAGAAAGAAGGTGC